CGCTACGACTGAATGAAGTCATTGCGTGTTGGACTCCCGAGGGGCTGTTACTGTTAGCCTGTACATAACTACTGTATGGCAGTGCCCCTCACAGGGCCCCTCAGCGCCCCTCAGCGCCCGCGGGGTCACTAGGACCGACCGTTGACAAGCTGACAGGGGGTGGACAGCGGACGGCTCCTTGGTGCAAAGAAAAAACACGAGCCGAGCGTCGACGTGAAAAGCATCTGCCCGCCCTTTGTGCTTCTCTCGCTTTACCCTCCTACTCCCCTCCATCCCCAGCCCGACAGCACAACGGCATCGCCGCCGACGCCGCCGATTTCCGCCTTCCTGGGTGCTTGCCACTTCTGTCTGTACTCTCGTCTCCCTGTTCATCTGTACGTCTGTTCATCGCATTCCTCTTCTTCACCTTCGTGTTGCATCTGCCTGTCTGCCCATCGACACGGTCGCCATTTTCACACGGTCGCTCTCTGTTTCAGAAGAAACCGCCCCTCGACCGGCTCATTGCTGTTGTTGCCGTCGCCCCTTCATCAGGACCTGCAAAGATCATCCAGAGCAAGTCTGCTTTGAATTGGCCCTTGCATCCTCCGTTTCGCTGCCTCCGGACCTGAAGCTCATTTCTGGTTCTAATTGCTGTCGACGTCGTGCTTGCCCCGCTCTACATGCGAACCGGAACAAAGAAGCGACAAAAAACCAGTGAGGTCGTCAACTCATTGTTCTTTTAGGTCTGTTCGAGAAGTGAATTGCCGCACACGCGAGTAACTACAACTCAGCCGCTTTCCCATCGCCACGATACATAAACGCGGAAACCCGACAAGAAAGATCATCAGGCCACAACAGCAAGACCTTTGCATTTGCACGAGCATACAACGATAGTATACTCAGTTCACAGGCATCCCAGGTTGACTGCAAAATCCAAAAAAAGATTCGAGACCCTGTGACTTTGACTAGCCATGGCGTCTCCTTTGCAGTTTGCGTATCGAACGCAGAAGACCATTGGCATCTTTGATGCTGCCCCGGTCTACCAACCCCTCGCTGGTTTTGCGAAACCCGAGGGAAACTTACGCTGCAGCGCTTACTCGCCCTGTGGCCGCTTTTTCGGCTGGGCGACCCCCGAATTCGTCACCGTTGTCGACACTTCTGCCGGCAGCGTCGTGCTGGTGCTACCCCTCGTCAACGTCTACGAGCTCGGTTTCTCGCCGTGTGGCACCTTTGTCATCACGTGGGAACGGCCTGGAAAGGATGAGGCCGGGGATGCCACCAAAAACCTCAAAGTCTGGCGCACCGTGGAAGAGGGCGTCGCTGGCGGCGACAAGCAGCCCATCGGTCGATATGTACAAAAGCAACAGGGTGGCTGGAACCTCCAATACACTGCTGACGAGAAGTACTGCGCACGACTGGTCACCAACGAGGTTCAATTCTTTGAGAGCCACGACCTTGTTACTGTCTGGAACAAGTTGAGGGTCGAGGGCGCGGCCAGCTTTGCACTGGCGCCTGGAAGCCAGAATCATGCTGTGGCTGTGTTCATTCCAGAGAAAAAGGTAAGCCAGATCAACACCGTTCCTTTTTCTTGGAATGCAATCTCTTTTGGGCCCTATGCATCACCACGCAACACACAAATTTGAGATGAGTTACGATCTACTGTCCACTAACAGGAACCTTCTTCGGATTACAGGGTCAACCAGCAGCTGTCAAGGTGTTCAACGTCCCCTTGTTCCAGAATCCTATTTCGCAAAAGACCTTTTTCAAGGGTGACAAGGTTCAATTCAAGTGGAACAAGCGCGGGTCTTCTCTGCTTGTCCTTGCGCAGACGGACGTGGACAGATCTGGGAAAAGCTACTACGGTGAGACTACACTGTATCTTCTCAGCACCAATGGGGCATTCGATGCGCGCGTGACTCTTGATAAGGAGGGCCCCATTCACGATGTATCGTGGTCGCCCAACTCGCGAGAGTTCGGAGTGGTGTACGGCTACATGCCAGCCAAGGCCACAATCTTCAATGATCGGGCTGTCGCGAAGCACTCGTTCCCTCTTGGGCCGCGCAATACCATCACGTTCGCGCCCAGCGCCCGCTTTGTTCTCGTTGCTGGCTTTGGCAACTTGGCCGGCCAGATTGACATTTTCGACCTCGAGAAGGACTATCGCAAGGTTTGCACCATTGAAAGCGGCAATCCCAGTGTGTGCGAGTGGAGCCCTGACAGCCGATACCTCTTGACGGCGACAACATCCCCTCGTCTTCGAGTCGACAACGGAGTGAAACTGTGGCACGTTGGCGGTAGCATCATGTACAATGAAGACATGGTGGAGTTGTACAACGTTGTGTGGCGTCCTGCGGCCCCTGAGAACGTGGCCGGCGGCGATCCGCTCAATCCTGTGCCCACGCCTCATGCTTCGGCCACGACGTACCTGGGCACAGTGAAGACACCGAGCAAACCCGCCGGGGCCTATCGCCCGCCTGGGGCTCGTGGACTCGCCACGCCCCTCCACTTCAAGCGCGAGGACGAAGGTGGTGCTGCTCATGTGGTGAGCAACGGTACACAGAATGTCGGGCCCAATGGCTTTGGCCGTCCCCGCCGCGGCGTGCCTGGTGCCGAGCCGGCTGAGCCGTCTACCGGACCCAGAAGCGTGCCTGGGGCCGAACCGGTCGGAGAAGATGGCAACAAGAAGACCAAGAAGAAGCGAGGAAAGAAGAACAACAACCAGGATGCTCGTCTCGAGGCCGAGCCCAATGGCGGTGCGACCCTTACCCCGTACGATAACAGCAGCGGCAACGGCAATGGCACCACCGGACGAAGCCCTGAAAGACGAGGCCCTGCTAATGGCAATGGCCGTGATCATCGGAGCAGATCACAACACAACACAGGCAGCCGCAGCCGCAGCAATACTCAACACGGTCAACGCTCTAACGGAAGTGCCAACCAGAGTAATGGTGCTGTTCAGCCAACCATTGTAGCTGTCCCTCCTCCTGTCGTGGATGCAGCCCAGGTCGCCGCTTTGGCCGCCGCCCAGATCGCCAACGCCAAGAAGGTCCGCAGTCTTCAGAAAAAGATTCGCGCCATTGAGGATCTGGAGATGCGACTCGCTGGTGGCGAAAAGCTCGAGGACACACAGATCAAGAAGATGAGCACTAAGAATGCCGTGCTGAGAGAGCTCGCGACGTTGGAAAAGGACAACTAGATTTCTGTTTCTGCTATGAAATCAGGAACTCTTGCTTGTTGGTAGCGTCGTATGCATTGGACACGAGAGTTGCGAATCTACCAGGCGGGCCAGGTGATGCCATTAGAATCAGCCTACAAGACGAGGGAAATAAACAAGAGGATTTGGTTGTGGAAGAGGGAGATGATTTATGGGCGACTAGGAAGCGAACCCGTCTGCATGATATGGAAGCCTTTAATGGATAGGACCCGTTTCACGCTGGATATCCGCGTGCGCGTATAATGTTTGTGCTGCGGGCGGTTGTTAGGAAGGACCCCTTTTGGAATAAAAATGCGGAGCGTTTTCGCTTGCGGCTGTCTGCCTGCGGACGCCTGCGGACCCGAGGATGAATCTCTCGCTGGGTGTCTAGGTGCCTGGGCGTTTGCCCTTTGGTAATTTGCGAGAGGCTGTGTATTCATTTTGGGTTGACTCGCCAACACGCAGACGGGGGGTTAGGGTGTGTTTTTACCTGATCGCATCACAAGACAAGAAGGGCTCGAGACGGGACGGTGGAGATGGAACGCAGGGCAGAGAGGAAGGGGGGGAAGGGAAAGGAGGTGAACGGAAGTGCATGGGAAAAAGACGATGCGAAAAGTTGAAGTTACATAGTTGTTTATTACTCTGCAAATGGCAAAATTATGCGAAAACTTGTCTTGGGAGACACCACTTGACCTTTGAACACATGGGACTCAGGGACTTGCATCAACTTGCAGCTCGGCCCCTGCATACACATGTAACCGAAGCGGGGAATATGCAAGTAAACACGACTTCTGAGCCGCATACCTATGTGGTTCTGACTAGGGGAGTATAGGTATGCAGGTTTGGTACGGCCAGCATTTTCATCAAGTATGTACATTGCTTTGACTTGTCATCGACGCTCCTTGTGAAATTCTTAGTTGTGGGAAGGCGCAAGCGCACTATTCAGGATAAGAGGTAGATATACATTTACTCGCGTACTAACCCACAAACCTACCTGATATACAATCATTACTTACTTGGGTCGAGGCGTCCTGAGAGTCAGTTTCACAAGGCGGCCATTCACGAGAACTTAGGGGGGGGGGAGCTGCTCTGGAGGATAGGCGACTCAGGTGCCTCAGAGAGACTGGGCAGTTCTCTAAACAGGAGTGAGACTACCTAGTCGGATGGAGGTGCATGGCGATGGATGAATATCGACGGGGATGTCATGCTAGGTAATCATGGGCTTCTTGTACATATGATGATTCTTAATCTCACGATCGCCGGTCGGACAAAAAATTCAAATGAAACTGGGATATGTAATCAATAAACTTGTGTTATAATCACGATTGCGATTGATACCGCTGGCGACTTATGATTAGTGATTAGTTTACTGAGTGTTCTGATCAGTTATTCGTATGATCATAAATGCCCCAGTTAGCTTAGAATGATCGACATGAAGCGATCAAGAAGTGGCCCCTCGCTTATGAGCTCACAGTATCTTCTATTTTCTATTTCTATCGAACGAAATATGCCAGTAAAAGGAGAGGTTATTCCCCTGATGATGGACAATGCCTCGGCCAACTTTCAGCAATTGACAGTCCATCAAGTTCATGAAGGTTTCTGCTCCTATTTCGGCACCAACGCAACGTCCATCTCGTGCTCTTACGCGCACATTTCAGTCTCAGGAGAAAACTGCCCCTCCACTATCGCCCTCTATGATGATGACTGTGATGCAAATCGTCGCTGCATCAAGGATTCCGAGGATCCGAGGAAGACAACCCTAGGATTAGGAAACAAAATATAAAAGGTAATAGTGGGAGTGTGTTCAACATCGCATCGAGGATTCGGTGCCCGGTTAGCTCAATCGGTAGAGCGTGAGACTCTTACCATGTTTGCTCCAATAATCTCAAGGTTGCGGGTTCGACCCCCGCATCGGGCTATTCCTATACAATACCGTGGACATCTTTTTTTTCATCTCTTTGCTCCTTAACTTTTGCCTTCTGTGCGTACATACGATGTCAACTTCTTCCTAGGTACTTCTTACTCGTGGGCGAAACTTTAAAAAGGACACCCATAGATGTATTTGCATACATTTCGTCTACTGTGTGTTTCCATTGCTGATTGGTGATGCGATTTGCATGAATAGGAAATAGAGGTCTGTACTTATGTAGAGTAGGTGTTTCGCGTCACGTTGACGCACGTATGCACACTGTACTTAAGACCGCAAAGCAGGTAATGTATGGGAGTCTTAATAAAAGAAAGTGGTACACTGGTAATGCAGTAAACCACGCCTACTCTTTTTTGCAAAAATTATTGGGATGCGCAGTTCAAGTCTAGATAATCTTATAATTTATTTATACACAACCTTCCATTCCATTCATGCAGAACCCTCTATTCTATTCATTCACACTTTCCATTGCACTCACACATGACCTTCCCATGTACTCACATATTTGCCGTGGCCGGCCATCGGACCAAATAAAAGCCATGAACGACCCTGTTCCCAAAAAAACACTTGAACAAAACGCCATCTGATGTGTACCTGATACCCATGCAAACCTCATGACTTTTCTCCACCAAACTTTCCCTCATCAACCGCGTCGGTCTCCATCGTAGCAGCACGAGCCCGCCGCGCTCTCCTCTCCGTCCTGGCCTGCCCATCGGCCCTCTTCGTATCGAGGTGCTCCTGATACTCCCGAAGCTGCCGAATAGTCTTGCTCCTAGCGCGAATGCGGCCTCCATACCGCCAGAACACAAACGGAATCGGAATGAGAGCCACCTCGAGCAGACCGAGCACCGTGCCCGCCCACCGCGGCGAAAGCGCAGAATACATCTTAGGCCCCGCAAGCGGCAGCGTACCACCAAAGATGCTCCGGATGACGGCGTTACCGGCGAGGGCACTCGCGGCGTAGATGCCATACGCTCCGGCGAGGTAATTGGACCCGTAGATGAAGCTGATGGTGTTGCCGCAGCCAAAGGGGATGCCAAACGCGATGGGCACGGCCCAGTGGATCGTTGATGGGAGACAAGTCCACGCGAAGCCCAGCTGACCGAAGGCGGTGGAGATGGCGCCGATGGCCATGATGGAAGCCTGCGCCTCGGGATACGGCTTGCCTGTGGTGGGATCCATGGGCTGCGCGTGGATGATGCGCCGGAAGAGTGGCTCGGCTACGATGGCCGTGAGGGTGCCGATGCCGATGCCGATGAAGGAGAGGCTAGTGGCGCCGGGGGCCCAGCCACGGTGTTGGGAAAAGACGACGGGGTATGCTATGAAGCAGAGGTAGAGTATACCATAGACGACGGATATCCTAGAGAGGGGATAAGTAAATGGCAAGTGACGAAATCACTCGCTCGTGGCTTCCACTCACATACATGACATGCACAGGCGTGCGTGCATGTACATATGTGTATGATTGGACCACCAAGCCGACAGACAGAATCTTACCAGAAGTTCATAAACCACAAGATAGGCTCCGTTACGAAGAGCACCAACGGCCGGCTAAGATTCACCTTGAGCAAGCGCGCCGTAGACACCTTCTGGTCATAACGACACCAGTACCGGGCATCATCCATCTGCTTCCTCTTCCGCGCTGCCTTGCACTGCAGAATCTTGGGCGCATACGTCTCCCGGACGGTCAGCATGAGAGCAATGGCGAGCCCAGCTATGATGAGGACGATCCAATTGGTCCACCGCCAGCCGAGGTACTGGAAGACGAAGCCGCCGATGACGGGGCCCGTGACGGGTCCGTTGAGAGGGGCCAAGGCGAAGAGGGACAGGCTCCTGGCGAGATAGTCTGGGTTGGAGACGTCGACGACGGTTCCAGGCGCATTGGAGATCATGACAGCGCCGAAAAATGCGCTGTTATATTGTTATATTGTTAGCGTTCTGGTGAGAGCAAGGGTAGGAAAGCAAGCTTTGGGAGAAGGGGAGAATGTGACAGATACACGACAATACAAGAAGGTGATAAAACACAGAAATTTGCAATGGGAACAAAAGCACAACTACACCAACCCGATAAATCGAACAACGATGATCATCGTCAGGGACTTCGCAAGTCCGCAAGGCACAATGAGGACTGTCCACAATAGCAAACACACCATATACACCTTCCGACGACCATAAAGCTCACTCAGCGGCGCAACCACCAAGCTCCCGGCCGCCAGACCCAGAAGATACGTCGTCATGCCTAGCGTGATAAGCGTCTTGGACGCGCCAAACTCCGCCATGAGACCAGAAATCGACGACGTATAGCTCGTGCTATACAATATGACAGCCCATGTCGCGAAGGAGACGCAAAAGATGACCCAGCATCGGTACCACAGCGCCCAATTCAAGGGATTCTCCGGGTCGTTGTCCGAAAAGTCCACCTCGAACTCGGGTTGTCGCGATGCGATGCTGCCGATGCTTGTGCCTGTGCGGATGTAGGCAACGGGCTCGCGAGCCATGCGCTCGGCGTCGGTTTCGACATTGGACGTGAGGCAGTGGGAGGCGACTGTTCTGATGGGCTCGAGATGCGGTCCCTCGGTGCCGGTGCTGGTGCCAGTCAAGGTGCTGGTGGAAGACGGAAATGACGATGATGATGATGACGACGGTGGCGGTCGGACGACATGAGTGTTGGACTCGTCATGCGAAGCCTTTTCGGGATCCTGTGCCATTTCCTGCGTCGTGTTTCGATGTTGCGCTTGCTTTTAGCCCGTCCTGATAGCATACAAGCCGATGAATCTCGCTCATTTCAGTAGTTGAAGAAAAATCTGCACAAAGGGAAGACTACGAATCGAAACAAAGAAGGCGTTTCGGCTGAGCCCGACCCACGGCCACGTTTCAGGGCATATTTATTCCGTTGGCATATGTAGTACCTATGTACTCTGATGACGGGAAGATGAACGAAAGGAGTAATTAGGAGTGAGCCGGGAGGGGCCAAACGGGGGCGTGGGAGCTACAACCAATTTCGGGTAGGTACATCAGCAATTTCAACAGGCATTCTTTTCGCTTTCTTATCCTCGGACACTATCTTTGAATTTTTCATATGATTAAAGGGCGCAAAGCGTGGATTCTGGAACTGGCTTGTTTTTGTAAAAAGAGCGACGGTGAGTATCAGCAGCCCGTGGTACTGTGGCCAAGACGCAAAAAACGCGGGCCAGGAACCGGCCTGAAAGAACAAGACTTGATACCAATGTTCTTTCCCTGGTCTTTGATTCATGAGCATCTTCGTTTCTTCATGCCTATAATGAAAAAGGAATTTTGTTTTTGTGACAAATATAGAGTAGAATGAAAGCTCGAGAGATAGACCATCGCTGCTGGACATGAGCATGTTGAGCGCAGACGGAGAACGGGGTATTATCGAATCATGACTTGAGGGAGTTGCAAGTACGGGCATTCCTGGACGGCGACGGTCTGTTAGACTGTTACCGAGTCGCGGCAGCAGCCGTGGTGCAATCAGCAACCCTGCGGCCGATTTCGAACAAATAAGAGTAGAAGAAGGATTATACTTTTAGAAGTTTTAGGTACCTATACTTCATTGTGTGTGAAGCGGTGAGGATTTCAGACAAACTGGGTGAGGCGATGCATGTGACGCGCAATAGAGAAGGCAGATTTTCGTGTTATACCTACCACATTCATTTCACTCGTGAGTGGTGAGACCATTTGCTGATGACAGCCTCTCATTCCCCGTGGTTTAAAAAGGTTACAGAAAACAAACAGATGACCAAATACACACACATCACACGATATACCGTACGGTACGTCGCAAGCGCAACCCCGGCTGCATCCTAATGTTTGCAAAACTGCTTTTCCCCGCGCACTTCGCGATGACGGGTTCTCGAATAGGAAACCTTGTCCGGGATGGGCCTCCCCCTTATTATCCACACGGTCTGATATCCAGGTAGGTACCCATTTAAGACTCGAGACTCGAGAGAGTGTTTGTCCGTCAGCCGTCGGGATGAGCCCAACGCCGTTTGGAGGCGTAAGTCAACTTCATAGGTCGGTCGGTAGCGAAAACAGAACAAAAAAAGAAATGAAACAAAAGCGTTCCCTTCTTCGTGGCATCGTGGACATGAATTTTGCACAACCAACAAAATGGCGCGTCCCTTTTTGCCACTCACTCATTCGTGTGCCGCGTTGCGAGGCTGAGAATGCCCTCCCCCGCGCGCCGTGCGCTGTCGCGCGCCGAGGACTTGGGAGCGGAAGTCGTCCGATGGAGGCGAATCAACAAGCCACGTCACCAGCCACGTCTCGTTCCGACGCGCCCAACACGTATCCCTGCTCGGGAGTGAATGGTAACGGCGCAGCTGCACAGCCACAATGCCACAGCGGCCCGACATTCTCGAACCCTTTCATATCCATTAGGTACATATTATGGTTTTAGACTTTGTTTCCGCCATGTCGTCGTCATCTCGTGATCTTGTTGCGGCCGCTGGTGCGCCATAGATTCTTCATAACCACACCGCGTACTTACCTACCTAGGTATCACTCCGTAGAGTTGACTGTATTGACGCGGCCATGTGAGAAACGTGGCGGGGCCAACCGGAGGCACTGTCGAACTTGTCGCTCTTGCGGAGCCATGACGCAAAACGAACACACAGCATTGCGCAGCATCCATATACACACGAATATGTATTCAGCTGCCTCAACACTGGCTTGGCAGCTCGGACTACTCTGTATGATTAATCGTTGCTTCAAACGATCAGTTCTTCCTTCTAATTTTCGGTGCCCTTCTTTGAAATGGACCACGACTTACAAGAAGTTGCGTGACACCAGCCACAGTGGCGCGGGGCGTCGTCAGAGGTTCCGAGCTCTCATTCGATAATCCAGGAGCTTAGGCAGTCAGGCTGCTCAGCTTAAGCTTCCCCTCTTCTACTCCGCAAGGGCGTGTGGCGTCCCTTGCGAAATGAACCTTCGCACAACTTGCGGAGAGCGATAAGTGCGCGTTGTGAACGTGG